GTCGATTATATATGGGTAGTTGTCTTATCACACTCCCTGTCTTGGTCTCTTAATCTAGCCCCAGCAAAAGTAAGCGAAAGAGTGAAGTTCATATAATAAACAGGGTAATAATTACCCAATGTTTTAGAAAAAAAAAAAAAGGGTGATACCGCTCAAATACCTCTCTTTTTGTAAACTTCTTCTACTTGGTGGGGAGGGGGGGGGGGAGAGAAAATTCGTGCCATCATTCAAACCATACAAACGTAAAATTTGGCGATTAATGTATCACCTTAAAACTTGGTAAGTTTTCTATTTTTAATAAAGAACGTTAAGACAAGAGTGGCAGTAACCAAAATGCGTATTTCTTGCCACTTGCTACCTATTGCTACCTACCTATTGTAAATAATTTTAATTTTTGTGTCCTCAATTAGTTGTGAAAACTAAATACACTTACTTACTGTTGAATCTGGGCGCTACAAGAAGATACCCAGAGTTGAGAGGCTTTGCCCCCTTTGAAACAGATCCGAAATTGGTGATGAATTCCACTGTTTGTTGAAATGTACCCACTCATCACTTTTATAAGGGGTATCTTCTTGGAGAGCCTATACTCGATAAACAGTAATTTTACGAATATGTCTTACAAGGCACTATTTTTATATATCATGTTCATCTGCGGTCAAAACATCTTAAATCTCAGTGCCTCTTATATTGAAATTATTCTAAATTGTTATGCATCCGAACTCTAATTAAACTTTCTTACCATACAAGAGCGTAGAAGCCCTACATAGCCAAGTAATGTTTTATTTTATGATAATATTCCATGGTTCCTTTCTTTCTTACTTAACCTTTATTTTACTTTTTTCATTTGTTATTGTTTTGGTACTGAAATCTTCATGTGGAAGGTAAAGTCAATAAAGTTGTTATTTAATGCGCTCTATTTAGCAGTATCAATGGATATTCGCTAACTAGTCTGTCACAACTGACTTGAAAAAAACCGTGGACGGGTCAGTTGAAATAACATTCGCCAAAGAAGTGTGTCAAATCTAACAAATCCCTCATACTTAAAAAAAACTGAACTATGTTTAGGTCAAGCACTAAATTTGAAGTCACACATAAGCTATAAGGCAGCTTTAAACAAAACCACGCATGTTACAGGCATTCAAAGAGTGGAGTGGGGGCGAGTGAAACAGCGGAGACCAGAAGGAGCGCCCATTTTCCTCTAGTTTTTCGTTAACTTTGGACCCTGAGTTACACTTCCGACTCCACTTTCTGGGCACATGGAACTGACAGGCTAAACAAAAGCCAACTCACACTTTTTTTTACACAGATACACGTTTAAATTGATACACAACGCCTCTTTGTCTGATGAATTTGGTCCACGATTCCGGAAAATCCGGGGGTGTTCTAAAACCCTAGGAAACCGAAACCAAAAATCACCAAAAAAAACGCGTTGCGTCTTCATTTCCAAATAAGACATGAAGACAAGGACTATATATGTCCGTCACTTTCACAACGAACCTCTCCTCATCAACATGTTGCCAAATCAAAGTTTTACTGAATTCCTTAATCGGCAAGAACATAAATAACCTCCCACGCAGACGTTCTTAAGGGGTCGTCAGGCTAGAACATGAACGATTAGCACGGGATGTCAAAACGGAATTAACTAACAATTTTTCAGCCCTGAAAAAAGCTGCAAGAAATGTTCATGCTTAATTAACGAAATATTGATCATCCAAGGTCTGATAATGCCAACTTTTGGAACTTGCTGATTCCGCTATCCCTGCTGTTATTGACATGAACACAAAAGAAGCAAAATGTCTTTTACCATTGTTTTAAATAAAGTCAATTAAAACCAGCAAGAAACAGTTACTTTGCCTCGATAAACTTGATGATGATTGCGTGTAGCCCCCTTGGAAACGCTGGACATCATTGGTCTCAATCAGCCTATACGAAAAGAACTTAATTCAGGGGCACCCAACGGCAATTTTCGGGAAAATATCTGTTCGGAAGACGATTTGAGATCTAGAATTTTCGGAGCATTTGTTGTAAAATTTCTTGCTTGCCTGCCTCTTCTAGGATTTTCGAACATCTACAAAATGGTATAATTACCCATTTTTAACGGATTTTGACCCTAAAAAAGGCCACCTAGAATTTTCGAAAGCCTTTTCCTGGCTGAAATTTTCGAGAAGGTAAGTTTTTATCCCTATAATTTTCGGATCACTAGACTTTCAGCTAGGAAATCCGAACAGATGAAAAGTTTTTAGGAGATAAAAATATGCCTATATCCTCGTTGGGTGCCCCTGTTAATTTAATAGTTAGTCATGAGACCCCAACAGCCATGATGATCAATATGTTTAGTTTTGTGTTTAGAACTAGCCACAATAAAACAGGGAAAACAAATAAATTTCTCGGTCCAATTTTCTAAACGCTCGTTTCATGACTCTTGGCTGACAAAACAGGGCCAGGGTTATGTAGTTTTCGAGGATAATATTTAGTTACTGCGCTATTTGTCGACAGCAAACTTTATAATGATTTTGACTACACGCGATCTCTTAGATCCCTAAGTTCAGCAATGTGTTCAGCAGTCTTCGTATCAAGGACTGAACAGATAAAGTTTAGGGGGCAAGAGTGAAAATGATCCAAAAGCGAGAGAGTTTGGTTTTCAGAAATTCCGCTGAGGTTACGTAACTACTGAGCCGGCTAAAATGTAGACTACATTGTGATAACTCACCGGTATCTGCAGGATCAGCCTTTAAATCCTTCATCAAGTAAGTGTATAAAATCCCAAAGTTGTTGTGAATACCCCAGATAATAAACTGGCAAATCGACGCTGCGATGCAAATGATCCAACCATATCCACCGTCGGGACATTCCTTTTCTGCACAAATCTCTACTGCGGTGACCTCCACCTTTTTCGTTTTCTTTCTGGCGATCTTTTTCCAAGGTTTTATCATATTAGGCTAAGAATTCGCATCTCAGATGATCACCAGAACACTTGTATGCAAGACATACATTAAAAAAAAACTGAAAAGATAAACCGGTTCGGCGTGCGTCGCATAAGCGATATAATGACCAATTAAGGCTGTCTAAACACAAACTTATTGCGGCCTTTGTTCAGCAAAAACTTGATACTATCATTGTTGAATTGTGGGTTGGGTGGCCTGATAGTGTGTTATATTATTTCGAGGCTGAGGAATGCACTCCCGCATAAAAACGAGGCGAAAGTAGGAAAATCCTCATGACTACGTCCGGTTTTCAAATTCATGTCCGATAAGAGTATACCTTTATAGACACCCAGACGTTATAAAATATTTTATTTTGCTAATTCGTAACCGTTTCAAACGATTAAGACGTTGAAATTAATGACAATGCGTTGAAGTATGTCCTCAAAAGAGTCTATAAAACAGATAAAAGCCGATTACCCAGATATCTGTATGATTTTCATCCAACATCAAAGTTCACTGACCTAATCGGTGGGCGTTGTTTTCTTTCTCAGGTATTTTAATACCTGACATTAAAATGTCAACGGGAGCAAGAGACTGTCTCCCACCTCGAGTGTGAGTAATTTGAGTCTCAGGCCGTGTCGCTATCTTTCAACGGTAACGCGAAGTTCAAGCCAAGGTTCAGTCGATGGCTTCAGACGGGAAAGGTTGCAGAGATTTGCGACCTTTGATTCGCTCTCGGTACAAAGGCGTCTTGAAGCAAGATAACGAATGGAAAGGCGTACTATCGTGTGTTACCAAGGCGGAATTTGGAGGCGATTGGAGCAGTTGGAGGGAATTTACGGCCGTTTTCCTTCGGTGGATCAGCGGGCTGCTTCGCTGGAGTGCCCAACCTTTAGAGAAAAACCCGTTTACATAAAAACCCATAAAACGGCCATAAATCGGCCTGTAGACCTCACAGGAGAGACGTAACGCACATTTTAAGTAAGGTAAGCTGTTTTTTTTTATTGAAATCCTTTCATTTTCGTAGGTTACAGAAACGATAGGTTTTTCCCCATACAAATCCTTATATTTCGAATGTTACGCAACAATGCCGATGTTCGCCGATGCTCATATTTTGAGCTTAGACTACCTGTGGGAATATAAAACAGTTTTGATTTCGAGATTATCGCAGGTTTGGACCTCCTACATAGCAAACACCTAGATCAGCTGCGTATATGAAAATCACATTTCATCACTACCTAATTTAACTTATCAAACAGCCCAATCAAACCTTATCGCACTAATCATATCATATCACCTAACAGATCCGGGGGGACCCGCCCCCTCCACAACACAGGGGAGGAGAGGTGGGAAATATTCTCAACCATGAGAAAGGCTTTGTGGTACGAGTGAAGAAGCAGTTAGTCTGAATCGATTATATCTCGAGAAAAAAGATGTCCAAGTGATAGAGATTTTAACGATACAGTCTATTCATGGGGGCTTGCCCTAGTCTGGGATAGATCTTCGAGAGTTGACCACCTTTTGAACTTCTGGGGAAAAATTTTCTTCATATTCCTCATACAGAGTTCATTGCGCCTGTCCTCTAGTTAATAGAGTCTAGCTTACTGAGTATTATACTTTAGTGCCGCGTAGGGGTAGGTCAGGAAGAGGGCTAATCAAGAAGCGATAAGATATGATAAGATATTGTTTAGGAAATGAGTAGAAATGATTAGGTGGTAGCTGCGTATGATGTATAAGGTACTGATTGGGTATAATAAGCTAGTAGACATCATTAGCCAATGACGGCTCAGTCTCTCTCAACCTCGTTCCCAAGGCCCTCTCCTACTTGACGAGTAGAGAAGAGGACCCTTTAAAGTGTCCTCAAATACAGCAGGGCGACGAAACTTGCGATTCATAAATTGTCTTGTGTCATACACATGAGTTTCTTTGCTCTTCCCCGGCCGCAATTCCATTGGCTTTTGCTGAGCCATGCGCAGTTTGTTCTTTCCCAGAAGTCTTTTCGCGGATTTCTTTCCTTTCTGTGCCGGTTTCTAGATCTGTCATGAATAGTCGAGTAAAGGGAAGAGTACAAGATCCGGCAGCTATGGCGGCTCCGGCTACGAAGAAAGCATCCTGATATGATCCAGTTATCTCGAAAATATACGCTGGAAGAGAACGAATATGAAAAAAATGAAAAGTTGAATTTAATTTTGAGCGACTCTGCATATGATATTTATACTTTGATTGGTGTCCGTGTGTCCAGTGAGGCAATACCATTTTCAAAGGAAGTGCACGGCACCGTATAAAACCAGTTTATCGTAGGTATTCTAACAACAGCATTACGTTTGGTGCGGTCTGAAAGGCCAATATTATTGAAATGTCCAAACTATAAAAACTGCTGTACACTTAAGTCGGCTACCACGTGCCGATTCAGTACGTTATAAAGGGTAAAAATTTTTCGTTCTACACGTGATTCTTTAAGCAAATTAAACTTTTATCTCCTCTGTGGGACCAGCAGAAAAAAACTGTAGACAAGATGATTTAAGGATTGAGAATCCACGAAAATGTTTCAGGGTTGTTCAGTCCTAAAGCCTCTTTTTTGGACACCGTCCTCAAGCTTTTAGCTACAAAGTAAATTGGTGGTTAAACTTAAAGCAAACCTATACCTGCCAGGGGTGGTCCAAATATAACAGGAAGTGACATAACTCCATACAAAGTTCCTAAGGCTTGTGGTAATCTATTACGTCCAACTACATCATTGATCGTGATGGCGATGAGCAAAATGAAACATCCGTCGAACATTCCAAAGCCAACAGCATATAATATGAGCCCGGTGTAATCCCGTGCCAGCGGACATAGTGTACATATAACAGCCATCATTACAAAGCAAACCTGGAAAACATCGAAAAACAGGCGAAAACATAATTTCTTCAGCCTCGATCATTGCGGCTAACAGCATCGTGTTCAGTAATAAGCTCTTGCGAATTACTCAGATTGACATAACATAAGACTTCGTAAATGTAATAATCATTTGAGCGGTCTTAAATGCTGGAGTGATTCACACTAGAATTTTTCTTGGCATCATAACTGATGTGATCTTCGATTCATATGTGTAAACGCGAGACGAGTGAGCATAATCGCCATAGCCAAAACAGAAGAACATCTCTAATAAATACTATGACACTTAAATAAAGATTCTTATCTTATCTTATCCTATCTCCATACATACCTGTAAAACGTAGAAACGATTCACTCTAGGGTGGTTGAGCATAAGGCCAAAGAGAACACGTGACAAGGTTGAAGCAATGGAAAGAAAGCCTATTAGCAAAGAGGCTTTAGACTCAGGTACACCAAGAATCTCAGAGTAATTAGGCTGAAAATGTAATAAAGTATTTAGAGCACCTTTTGAGGCCACCTAAGAATACATTTCGGGTAGAACAAGAGTGTGGAAAGGAGAAATTGTCAGTTTAACTAACAAAAGCTAGGCGAACACAGGAAATTCAGGATTGCCCAAAATATGGTGGCGTTCTCCTAACGTCGAACGCAATCGGTTTTCGGCAGTGTAACAGTTCAAGAAAGTTACTAAGAAGCTTAGTCCACTCAGCGGAGCAGTTTATTGAACTCTACACTGTGGCTTTCACAGTGTGTGTATGACATGAAAAGCTCTTGTCCATGTATTGATTCTTAGCAAGTCGGAGAACATAAAAGGTTCTCTTGTTCTTAGGCATCCTTTGTTCTGCGATATTTTGAGAGAGATTTTTTTATTAAAAGATTCCTGCAAGTACCTGCCGGATCCTCTAACCACTGACAAACAGGAAAATCATGATTACGGTATGTTGCGATATGCGCCATATTAGAACCTTTGTAGGTCACGAGTCTCCCAAACCTGAACAGCGTAACATAATGGTGTCAGTGAGAGTACCTGAAATTCATGGTTTCGTTAACGCGCTAAGAAAGTGTAGCCCTTTAACTGAAAACCATGAGCAGAAAAATCATGTCATGGCGAAACTTTGCTGCACAATTTTCCATGAGTTTCGAGCCTTTTTGGATCATATGCATTCAAATTAAGGAGCAAATTCCGTTTATACATATCTCCTATGTTTGAGGAAACAAGCATTCAATCATTTTATAATATCTACCATTCCTCACCAAGTGAATGAAGGGAATAAAGTAGCCAATGTGTAGCAGTGATATGGATACAACCAAAAACACGAACGGCTTTATCTTCCATACCGACAAGTCAAACAGCTTGGCTCTCTCTTTTGATTCTGCGTGTACACGATTATACTTGGCAGGGAGCGGACGGTAGAATAATGCGCTGACAAATATGAGAAAGGCGAATCCACTGAGAATTCGTAGCAAGATTTGCCAGCCGAGGTTTGACAAGATGAGGTGGTAAAAGGGTCCCATTGCCAGTGCACCAACACCACTTCCACCAGTAACAATACCATTGGCTAGCGCAAGTCTCCTCTTGAAGTACTGACCTGAAAAGGGATTGTCAAATGCAATTAAATTGGTCGAAAAGCTTTGAATGAGGAAACATAAGTATTCATTCCAAAATATTATCATATGTTATGCTCAGATGAACTGTGAATTTACTCAGAGCATATTAGTCTCAGTCCATGAATCACTGTACCGGTCATTAGATTGAAGTTGGCACAATCGAAATTCCCTGCAATTTATCTTAGAGGGACTGGGACTGGGTTGTTAAAACGGTCGCCGATTGAACAAGGAAACAACGTTAAAGACATTATTACCCTCCTGAAAGCAGGAACTAAGAAAGCGGAAAGTTTGTGATGAAAGAGCTCTTAACTGGAGATCATTTTCGTTCCTTACAATCCTTTCCCAGGAGACGACGACCCTTTTCCTGCATGAAAACAGCAAAAACGCAATTGGTTGAGTCCTCCGAGGAAATACGCAGACCTTAGACAAATATGGGGTGGAAAAAGGGTAGGGGGACTGCGGGGGGGATAAAGTTTAAAAAATTATTTATTAACTGTGAAATGTCGACCTCTACTCAACGAACCTCACCTAATACAAATGTAGTAGTAGCAAAGCTTAAAGAAGAACCAAAACCCCAGACGACACTGTATGTGAAGTAGATGAAGTAGACACTATTGGCAAATGACGTGATCAAAAAACCAAAGACTGCAATAAGACCACCCGCTGCAGCTACGAGGCGACAGCTGAATCTTTGACACAAACTGCTCGCTACTGGGCCGAAAAGGAAGTTTACACCAAACGCTATGGAACCAATCCATGCTGGAACGTAAAAAACAGAATGCAATCATATAGATAACCATCGGCTGATAGAATGTAGTGTTAACCTTTTGAGTCCCAAAAGTGACATCCATTTTCTTCTAACAAAACAATACATAATTAAGAGAAAAAGTTATGAGAATAGACCTTTTTACCGATACAGCAGCCATATTGAATTAATTGGATTTAAGGAGTACTATGGGATGCCTAGGGGGCATGAGCACGATCCGATATACTCGCAACAGTATTTACGCGAGCTTTTCGGGCCAATTTTTCTTTAAGTTTTCCAAGGAAAAGATTGTAATGGGAAAAAAGATCGTTGCGCCGTGTTTGGATGTAATAATGAACGCCTTTTTCCCGAGAAATCTACAGGGAAGTTATCTTTTTGCACGAAAAGCGCGCGTAAATGCTGAGCGAGTGCCCCCTGGGCATCCCATAATACTCCTTAAATCTAATAAGTTCAATATGGCCGCCGTATCGGTAAAAAGGTCTATTAACAAAATGATCACCAATGGGAAAATGCTTGAACCTTTGTTAAATTCTCTCAAATATAGTGAAACCCCGCCTTACGGCCACTTTTTTGGCCACCTGGCAAAAACTGCCATAAATTTTCTTATCAAAAAAAACCCTCGTTAATACGGTCACCTCGTTAATACGGCCAATTTTTTGTTTTTGGCCCATTGGTGTTCCACTGTTATCAGGCTTTAAGGAAATGTATGGGGATCAGTCTGGAGAATTTGGATGTGGATATTGGGCGTTAAAGAGTTAATACCATGAGGGGGAGAAGAGAAACTTCATTTCCCATATAGAAGTAGACAGTGTCGGGAAAACGAGAGAAATAATGTCCTTGACAACTGCTTGAGGGCAAAGTGTCTCAACTAATTTTAACGCCGATCACTTGTTGCTATCGGCTGGCCCCAGAACAATCCTGATCAATGAGCTGCAAAAGGTCATCCTATTGGGAACTGCGCACACAGTAAAAAGATTTCTGTCCATCCAGTAAACATACCACCCCTAACACCTCAAGACCACCAAGGAATGGGCTCGGTTCTAAGACAGTACCAAAAGCAATTTATAGCGCTAGGAACAACAACAATAGCAATAACAATAACAATAATTATGATTATGATTATAATAATAATAATAATAGTAATAATAATAATAATAATAGTAATAATAATAATAATAATAATAACAGAGAATGAGAACAGAGAAGATAAATCTGCCTCTGAAAATGCTAAAGCCCTGAAACACGTGTTTAAGTCCAGGATGAAGTCAATGAAAGAAGAAAAGTGGAAAAAAAAAGCATTGCAAAGATCCTAGAGAAGCCTCATGTAGACTCAGTCACCACCAACAAATGGTTGTCAAGTAATTTGAAAGGAGAAACAGAGGGATTACTTGTAGCAGCTCAAGACCAGGCAATAAACACCAGATGAAGCAATGGAAAGAAAGCCTATTAGCAAAGAGGCTTTAGACTCAGGTACACCAAGAATCTCAGAGTAATTAGGCTGAAAATGTAATAAAGTATTTAGAGCACCTTTTGAGGCCACCTAAGAATACATTTCGGGTAGAACAAGAGTGTGGAAAGGAGAAATTGTCAGTTTAACTAACAAAAGCTAGGCGAACACAGGAAATTCAGGATTGCCCAAAATATGGTGGCGTTCTCCTAACGTCGAACGCAATCGGTTTTCGGCAGTGTAACAGTTCAAGAAAGTTACTAAGAAGCTTAGTCCACTCAGCGGAGCAGTTTATTGAACTCTACACTGTGGCTTTCACAGTGTGTGTATGACATGAAAAGCTCTTGTCCATGTATTGATTCTTAGCAAGTCGGAGAACATAAAAGGTTCTCTTGTTCTTAGGCATCCTTTGTTCTGCGATATTTTGAGAGAGATTTTTTTATTAAAAGATTCCTGCAAGTACCTGCCGGATCCTCTAACCACTGACAAACAGGAAAATCATGATTACGGTATGTTGCGATATGCGCCATATTAGAACCTTTGTAGGTCACGAGTCTCCCAAACCTGAACAGCGTAACATAATGGTGTCAGTGAGAGTACCTGAAATTCATGGTTTCGTTAACGCGCTAAGAAAGTGTAGCCCTTTAACTGAAAACCATGAGCAGAAAAATCATGTCATGGCGAAACTTTGCTGCACAATTTTCCATGAGTTTCGAGCCTTTTTGGATCATATGCATTCAAATTAAGGAGCAAATTCCGTTTATACATATCTCCTATGTTTGAGGAAACAAGCATTCAATCATTTTATAATATCTACCATTCCTCACCAAGTGAATGAAGGGAATAAAGTAGCCAATGTGTAGCAGTGATATGGATACAACCAAAAACACGAACGGCTTTATCTTCCATACCGACAAGTCAAACAGCTTGGCTCTCTCTTTTGATTCTGCGTGTACACGATTATACTTGGCAGGGAGCGGACGGTAGAATAATGCGCTGACAAATATGAGAAAGGCGAATCCACTGAGAATTCGTAGCAAGATTTGCCAGCCGAGGTTTGACAAGATGAGGTGGTAAAAGGGTCCCATTGCCAGTGCACCAACACCACTTCCACCAGTAACAATACCATTGGCTAGCGCAAGTCTCCTCTTGAAGTACTGACCTGAAAAGGGATTGTCAAATGCAATTAAATTGGTCGAAAAGCTTTGAATGAGGAAACATAAGTATTCATTCCAAAATATTATCATATGTTATGCTCAGATGAACTGTGAATTTACTCAGAGCATATTAGTCTCAGTCCATGAATCACTGTACCGGTCATTAGATTGAAGTTGGCACAATCGAAATTCCCTGCAATTTATCTTAGAGGGACTGGGACTGGGTTGTTAAAACGGTCGCCGATTGAACAAGGAAACAACGTTAAAGACATTATTACCCTCCTGAAAGCAGGAACTAAGAAAGCGGAAAGTTTGTGATGAAAGAGCTCTTAACTGGAGATCATTTTCGTTCCTTACAATCCTTTCCCAGGAGACGACGACCCTTTTCCTGCATGAAAACAGCAAAAACGCAATTGGTTGAGTCCTCCGAGGAAATACGCAGACCTTAGACAAATATGGGGTGGAAAAAGGGTAGGGGGACTGCGGGGGGGATAAAGTTTAAAAAATTATTTATTAACTGTGAAATGTCGACCTCTACTCAACGAACCTCACCTAATACAAATGTAGTAGTAGCAAAGCTTAAAGAAGAACCAAAACCCCAGACGACACTGTATGTGAAGTAGATGATCTATATCCTCGTTGGGTGCCCCTGTTAATTTAATAGTTAGTCATGAGACCCCAACAGCCATGATGATCAATATGTTTAGTTTTGTGTTTAGAACTAGCCACAATAAAACAGGGAAAACAAATAAATTTCTCGGTCCAATTTTCTAAACGCTCGTTTCATGACTCTTGGCTGACAAAACAGGGCCAGGGTTATGTAGTTTTCGAGGATAATATTTAGTTACTGCGCTATTTGTCGACAGCAAACTTTATAATGATTTTGACCACACGCGATCTCTTAGATCCCTAAGTTCAGCAATGTGTTCAGCAGTCTTCGTATCAAGGACTGATCAGATGAAGTTTAGGGGGCAAGAGTGAAAATGATCCAAAAGCGAGAGAGTTTGGTTTTCAGAAATTCCGCTGAGGTTACGTAACTACTGAGCCGGCTAAAATGTAGACTACATTGTGATAACTCACCGGTATCTGCAGGATCAGCCTTTAAATCCTTCATCAAGTAAGTGTATAAAATCCCAAAGTTGTTGTGAATACCCCAGATAATAAACTGGCAAATCGACGCTGCGATGCAAATGATCCAACCATATCCACCGTCGGGACATTCCTTTTCGGCAAATCTCTACTGCGGTGACCTCCACCTTTTTCGTTTTCTTTCTGGCGATCTTTTTCCAAGGTTTTATCATATTAGGCTAAGAATTCGCATCCTAGATGATCACCAGAACACTTGTATGCAAGACATAGATTAAAAAAAAACTGAAAAGATAAACCGGTTCGGCGTGCGTCGCATAAGCGATATAATGACCAATTATGGCTGTCTAAACACAAACTTATTGCGGCCTTTGTTCAGCAAAAACCTGATACTATCGTTGTTGAATTGTGGGTTGGGTGGCCTGATAAGTGTGTTATATTATTTCGAGGCTGAGGAATGCACTCCCGCATAAAAACGAGGCGAAAGTAGGAAAATCCTCATGACTACGTCCGGTTTTCAAATTCATGTCCGATAAGAGTATACCTTTATAGACACCCAGACGTTATAAAATATTTTATTTTGCTAATTTGTAACTGTTTCAAACGATTAAGACGTTGAAATTAATGACAATGCGTTGAAGTATGTTCTCAAAAGAGTCTATAAAACAGATAAAAGCCGATTACCCAGATATCTGTATGATTTTCATCCAACATCAAAGTTCACTGACCTAATCGGTGGGCGTTGTTTTCTTTCTCGGGTATTAATGTCAACGGGAGCAAGAGACTGTCTCCCACCTCGAGTGTGAGTAATTTGAGTCTCAGGCCGTGTCGCTATCTTTCAACGGTAACGCGAAGTTCAAGCCAAGGTTCAGTCGATGGCTTCAGACGGGAAAGGTTGCAGAGATTTGCGACCTTTGATTCGCTCTCGGTACAAAGGCGTCTTGAAGCAAGATAACGAATGGAAAGGCGTACTATCGTGTGTTACCAAGGCGGAATTTGGAGGCGATTGGAGCAGTTGGAGGGAATTTACGGCCGTTTTCCTTCGGTGGATCAGCGGGC